AGAATCCTGGCACTAGCGCAACGTCGAGGAGCTGAATCTGCGTAAGGCCGTTTAGCGACTTGATAGTAACCGTAACGCTGCCAAACGCCTCAATTGGGTACACAGACTTACCTGCTACCAATTGCTCTCCTTCTATAGCCGTACGCTCGAATTGGAAGCGTTTTGGATCGTTGCAAACGTGCGAGTTGGCGCCAGAATCAAGAATCCACGTATCTCGAAGCTTATAGCTATCCGCGTTAAGAGCGAACGAACTCAGCGCGGCTATTGACGGCTGCCGTCGCTCTGCGGCGTTTTTTGAGTCGTCCGAAGTTGCTTTCTGCTGCTTCTCAGCAGCTCTTTTTTGCTTCGATTCTACTATCTTTCTCAAATTAGCGTTTCTAGCCAGTTTTTCGTCGATTGACGTGCGAATTTGGTCATTAGGGCTCCAGCCCTTTGGCCTGATTTGCTCTATTAGGTAGGGGCACTAAGAGAAGTAGTGATTTTCTCCACAGAGGCAGTTGCTGCGTTTTTTCGCCTCAGGGCGCGCTTTTTCTGCTGAGTCAGCAGAATTTTCTGTAGCTTCTTCGCCCTGCAGAGTGGCAGCAAATCCTGTGTGAGTTTGATGCGCTTTAGGAGCTGCCTTATTAAGGCGCAAGTTGTTACGAAATCGCTCAACGGCTTTGTAGAGAGTTGGAATAGCTGCACCCCCCTCCTCTAGCTTGGTATCCACGTAGACTTGATACGCATTAGCGTACGCTGCGTCAACGCTTTTGATAGCCAAGATAAAGTCGTATAGGGCTTTGTTATCCTGTATCTCTGCCAGCTGCAGCTTTTCTGCTTCAGCGAATTTCGTCTCCTATAGCTGTAGCCAGCTGTCGATGGACTGCGATTTCGGTGCCGTTTTCAACGCATGGTATTCGCGTGCGAGTACTAGCCGTCGAGCCCTATCCGTAGGAGCCAGGCGCTTCTTTAGCGCTTGGAGAATCTCATACGGGGTATCCAGGCCGCGGATATAGGTCAGAAGGCTACGAGCAGTAGTATCTTGAATGTGATAGACAATATCTCGCACAGCGGCTTGATCTTTATCGTATCAAGCGAGATCTGTTCGGTATTCTGTTTGAAGAACCTTGTAATGGTCCTTCTCTCCGTCGTTCAATGCTGCGTAAGAGAGTGCTGTAGGATTAACATCCTGATAAGGGGGTTTCTCTGGCCTTGTAGGAGGCTTTGGCGCTATAGCAGCACTGATATCAATTAGGTGGAAGATTCCCTGAACTCGGGCAGTTCTGCGTACTATTTCGTACTAATCGTCCCAATCCTTGGGGCCCTCGAGAACAAGAACGGTCTTCTGCGTGGTCGTCATTACATATATAGCGAAATATATCGAATACGCGTGTTAATTAGTTCAATTGGAGTTAAAAATAGAGAAAAAGCGCTCTGAATTCGTTTAATTAGGTTGTTTTTTGCTAGTTTTTGTTGATTTACGCAAATGTTACGAAATCCGGGCTCATAACTAACGAACTGTACTGACTAATCAATGGATCAGTGTAGAAATAGCAAGTTGTTTTATCTAATTTAGTGCGAGGAGCGCGTATTTATACGTACAAAGTTGCTATATTAAGCGAAATAGCGTGAAACGCAGATACCAAAAATACATGCGTGGCTGATGCAAAACGTGTATTAAATCTGTAACAAAACACTGGTGACACATGTAGCAAAATAGTACAAACTGTATTTTTGAGTTTAACAAAACATTATGGCTTAAGCACTATCTCTTCCCTTAACTCTATGTCTATATATTTATATAGACGTTCCTCTGCACCTTTCTTCTTCAGTTAGGGACAATAACTTACCGAAATTAGCTAACAAAGTCAAACTACTCTTGAGCTCATAACACCTATATTAATGAGATAGTCAAGATTCGCTTGAGCTTATCTCGACCTTTGAGAGTTGAGCCAGGGCAGTATATTTGTCTGTGGGTCCCAGCGGTAAGTTTTTAGTCCTCTTTGCAGATCCATCCTTTTATCGTGACTTCATAGTCAGAACAGAAACAGGACTCTTTAGATCTACTTGTAGAACCTTGTAGAGGCCTTATACAAAGACTACTCTACTACAGTAAAGCGGCTTAAAAAGCTGATTATAGCGCTTCACCTTGTCTAGCTCTCTTCACTGGCCCACATAGGACTAGCGCATCAGTAGGAAGCTATAAAACAGTTCTTATAATAGCGACTAGTTTCGGCATAGCTGCGCAGCTACCTTATCTCAAAAAACTCATTTATGGGTACAATACCTGCATGACTTGAACTCGCCAGGTCTACTTAGTGTGACAATTAGAGACTATTAGTAAGCCCTAAAATCAACGCTTATAAATTTGGAATTCATGATTTATAGATATTGGGATTACAGTGCAGTCTTTTCTTAATAACGCCCTGGCAGATAACACCTTAGATAAAGACTATATGGGTACTTCTATATCATTGCTGCAACGTATATACTAACGTAGGATAGATTCTCGGCATCTTGATCTATATTAAGATCAGGAAAATGGACAGTGTACTATTTGGTCGTCATGCTGTATTATACAATGGCTCTGTGGATTTTGGGGCGATTCTACAAGAAGAAATGTCAGGGAAATATATTGAAAGAGTTCAAAGTGAAAAGGCAGGAGATATGTTGGTCATGGGTAAGATATCAGATCCCGTGTCACTGTCAACCTGCTAATTTTGTATAGTGTCAGCAACGGGTAAAGTGCGAGACCATTTACAAGGTGTAGTACGTGACCATTTAAATGATAATGTATAACTTCTGAAGCTAGAGTACCAACCGGCGATGGAATTAGTACTGAGCCAACAGGAAAGAGTATAAGTAGTGAGAAGGTGATGGTATAGATTGTCCTCTAATGCCCGTGATGCTCAATTCGCGCTACTATGGAAGTCGCGGTTATCAATAAAGTTTTATCAGAAATCATAAGATTAAGCTCGCAATTGGGTGATATTAGACTTTGCTTTCCGTTTTGGATTAGGGTATAGAGTTTGAATACAGAATAGTACGTATAATATAGCTATTCTTAACATGTCTTATAGGAAAGTTGAGGAGTTGGCTTAGTGTCTATACATTATTAGATTTCTAATCCTACTCCGTGTAGCAGGTGGAAGCTATAAACACAATCAATATGAAGAATCAACAAGGAACCATCCAAAGAATTCTGGCGGACAACTTCTCCGTCGTCCCTCACGCAAAAATTACATACGTTGGCTGGCTCACGAAGGAATCAATTAAGAAACGGAACTCTTCCATAGTGATCGAATTTACACAACCCGAAATGGCCAATGCGATTATATACGCTGGCTTCCTGTGGGAAGGCTTAATCTACAACTGTCAGCTCTACGACCGCTCTTGCAGAATCAAGCAATGCCTCAGATGCTATGACTACGGCCACATCGGTACTCAATGTAGTGCTCCCCAAAAATGCGGCTACTGCGCAGGTGGACATGGATCGCGAGACTGTTCTGTGAAGGGCAGCCCGGGATTCAAGCCTAAATGCGCCCTCTGCGGAGGAATCCATACAGCATGGAATGCTGCCTGCCCAGCAAGACAGAAAGAGATGCAAAGGGTTGAGAAGGCAAAGCAATTACGAAACCACTACTGGCCGATACCGCCTAGGAGGACAGCATCAGCAACAGACTCACACAACAAAACCGGACCTACACTGTCTACATCAAGCTCAGATGACACAACCGGACCAGCGACGTAGAACTAGCCAGCTAGCTTTAGTAGCCAACTAATCCGGGAGCCACAGCTTCTTAGGAGCTTGAGACGTCAACAATAAAGGAGTCTAATACCCCCTTTAATAAGCGCATATATCACTTACCTTGAACTAAGCACTTGCTTTAAACTAATAATATAATTACAGCAAATAGTAAACTATATACCCCTTATTTTAACAATAGTATTAAGAGAGCCCTTTACAGCCTAAGGTACTACAATCTTACTCTAAAACTTACTAGCACTTTTACTAGAGTATTTTCTTAAAGGTGACGATTAGCTCCAAAATCTTGATTTAAACTAGGAAGACATAATCTTAGTAGGTCTAACACTAGGACTATTAATGATACTAGATAACTAGCATTATGCAAGAGGCTTATCACTTAAAGAACTAGTACGCCTAAAGAGAATAATAATAATGTTTAATAATCTATCTTTACTGCAGAGGGGATGCTATTATAAGGAGCATAGACATCTTTATAAGAACTAGCTTATTTGAGATGCAGAACTAATTATTAGTACCTATATAAAAGAGTACTTATATTGCAATTTCTGACAAGATTTATTAGCAGAATTACGTAAACACATTAAAGGTAAACATAAGAAATAAAATCTCACGGTCAGAAAGGGGAAACTAAGAGAAAAGGGCATTATACCCGGCTGAAACGCACTACTAACGACACAGATACAGTATACTTAGAGCATTACTGCATACACTAGAATATAAGTTACAATAAGTGCACCCTAAAGATATTATAGTACAATACCCGAAAATCAAGGGAGATCATAGCTGAAGTGTTTCACTATCGTAAAATACTTGATTACGACATCCTAGCAATTTAAGAGTCATACCAGAACCCTTTCTAGTATACTACTCATCACCTAGCTAAAGAATGATTCCACCTTCTCTACTTTGACAGCGAAGGTACTAGGTCATACATCTTTGTTTACACAAGAATTAATCCGGCTACCTAGAGTATATGATATATAAATAAGGATATCTGTGTCCTTAATCTTGAGACAAATCAAGGTCACCTTTCTATTTATAATATGTATAATGACCTAGAGAATAATAATAGGACCTGCACCTTACGAAAACTGGCACAGGAATTAAACACTAAATAACCTGAGAACTATTTAGTCCTTTTTAGCGATTTCAATTTATACTATCTGCAATAGTCAGATGTCGGGACACAAAGAATATGTAGTGAGGCTCGTATGCTCCTGGACATTACAGAGTCATCCTATCTGTGGCAACTTACCCTGGTAGGATTAAAGACCCATCAATAGTTCATTAATAATACAACAATAGACCTTACCTTTGTGACACACACGATAAGAGAACAGTTACTTCAGTATAAGGTTGCTCACGAATTAGACTGTGACTCTGACTACCTCCTAGTCAGCACCTGGTTCAACTGGAATTGGAAACAAGTAATAGTCTGACAAACGTGGCAGTAGGCGGCTATGAACGTCAACAAGCTAAGATCCATCGTCTAGACAGAGATGCACATAGCTGATCCTCTGAGCTGGGATTCTCTGTAAGCCCTAGACGACCAGACCACACTCCTTATCAATATCTTGATAAAGGCAGTTAAAAGATCTACGCTTTAGAACAACCCCTCCTTACAAGTATTACCTAGTTTTGACAAGGAGTGCAAAGAGGCGTGTATAGAGATATAATAATTGCGAAGGAAATGGCAGTTTACGAGGTCAGAGGAAGACTGGCAAGCTTATAAGACGGCGCGTAATGCAAAAGGAAGACTGATCAAGAAAACCTTGTAACAGACCTACTGATTAAAGATCACGGAAGCAGCATCGAAACCTCAGGGTATATAGAAGATTACTAAATAGGCGGTTAAACGATAGTCACTTCCACCCGCATCAGTTACTCTAGCGCTTAGTAGGAAAGATAGGTCCTTAGAAACAGAGGCCGAAGGCAAAACGAACCTCCTGCGTGCATCCTTCTTTCTGCCACTAATTCAGGCTGACCTAAGCGATACACAAGGATATCAATATCCAGAACCATGCCCCTTACCTCTGATTACAGAGTCTGAAATCAAAAGAGCTATCTACAAAGCAACACTAAACAAGGCACCAGGAACTAATAACATCACTAACAATATACTACAGAAAGTGCTTAACTTAATCCTTTTAACGCTTCATCAGTTATTTAATGCAAGCTGGAACATAGGATATTTCCCCTAACATTTCTGACAATGAATCACGATAATGCTAAAGAAATCAGGAAAGAATAACTACTCTTAACTAATGGCCTACTGGCTTATTATACTGCTTAACATTATTAGTAAAATCTTGGAAGCAGTTATTAGTACCTAATTAATATATCTAGTAGAGAAGCTTAATCTTCTGCCTATTAATTATATCAGAGGACGGAAGATAACATTAACTAAGCATACTATTTATTCTCTTCTTACCTAAATTCACTAAGTATAAGATCGAAAACAAGTGGCAAGCCTGCTGCTTTTAGATGTATTAGGGGCCTTTAATAATATGTCTCACCTTAGGTTATTATATAATCTGCGTAAAAAGAAGATCAATCCTACTATAGTAAATTAGATTACATTCTTCTTAAATAATTATACAACTACACTTATTCTGCTAGAGTTTACCAGACAAGCAACAGGTGTCTTTGTTAGTATATCACAGGGATCTCTACTGTTACTAATCTTATACCTCTTCTACAATGCAGACCTATTAGAAAGCTGCGCTAATAAGAAGGTAAACACGATTAGCTATATTGATAACGTATCCCTTTTAGCTATAGGAGCTACCCTGCATTATAATACTTAAGTATTCAAAGTAGCACATTAAGAAGCACAAAGATAGGCCCGGAAATATAGATCAGTATTCGCAACGTCTAAGTACACTCTTATTCACTTTGCCAGAAACTCATATATTAACACAAGACACCCTTTACGTCTTCCGGAAATCACAATCACGCTGATGTCCTTATGCAGATACCTAGGCCTTCAGATCAATAACAGACTGACTTGGAAGGATCATATGCAACAGATTCAGCAGAAGGCTTCCTAACGACTGATCGCACTCTTCTCCCTTGCATTGTCCACCTAGGGAGCTAATCTGATGACTCTCTGACAGATGTATCAAGTAATGCTCCTGCCTCAGCTTCTATACGGATATTCAGCTTGGTATAAGGCCTAAGAGCGCTGACAGTCAGGACGTCCTCGCAAAGGATAATCACAAATAGCACGCCTACTCACCTTAGTTCAGAGGCGAGCGGCCCAAATCATTACAGAAGCATTCCAGACGACTGCCGCAAACGCGATAGAAGTCAAGGCACATCTGTTGCCTCTAGACTAGCAGATAGAAAAACTAAGTTTACATACCACCTTAAGACTGTTGTCCTGTCTGTCCTGTCTAATCCCCACTAGTGTTAGTAAAGAACGGAGATACTCTAAGGAGAATCTAATATTACGCTATGTCAGGGTGTTACGGAAACATTATCAAATCTACTATGTCGACTTAGAGCACCGTCAACCCTATATTGTCGCGCCTTAGTAAAAGCCGCTATTAGTTGTTATAATAAGCACACTAAAGGACGTGATATCGTAATACAATAGTCTATATATAAGGACAGGCACTATATATATATATATAGACGGTAGTAGTATTAATAGACATGTCAGTACTGTAGCAGTAATTTTATTGACTCTAGGTTTAATATCAAGTCTAGTGCTCTAAAAGAAAATACAGCACATAGGCACTAACAAGCAAAGTACTATATATATAGCTAAATTAAAGGGCATCTTATTAGCCTTAGAGATCCTGATAACTAGTTCCAGCCTTAAGCAAAACAACTTCATTATCTTTACCAACAATTAAGGTGCCCTGAAAACCCTACAAAATCCGGGAAACACCTCAGGCTAATCTATCTTAGTAGATCTTCTTCAGACACTAAACGAAGCTATTATCAGTAGACTAAACGTACACTTTTGATGAATTCCGGCCTATCAAAGTATTTTAAGCAACGAGATAATCAACTTAGCAGCAAAAGAGGCAGCCAGTTTATCATCAATAGACGAAACTATTAATCAGGGCCCACATCAGAACCCTAACAATATCATCAAAACTCTCCTCACCACAACTAAAAGAATCATCAACATAGCCCTCTATTAAGACTAGGAATCTATCTAGGCCCATGTCAAACATGGACGTGTCTTGCACACCTTGAGCAGGAAACCAGATAAGAAGACCCTTGAATTGCACCGAAAACTGCCCCGGACAATCAGCTCTATTATTACCCAGATGAGAACCGGCAAAATCAGGTTAAACGCATATCTTCAGAGCATTAATAAAGCAGATACCAGCCAGTGTACCTGCAATCAAGGACAACAAACAGTGGAGCATGTATTGCTGAGATGTCGAAATTAGACAAAGGAGCGACAAGAAATGTGGGCAGGCAGCGGACCAGTGTTGAGTTTAAAGGGTGTTCTCAGCAACCAGAAGTTGGTTGTTCGAGCGGCCCACATGATGCTGCGGACGGGTCTTCTGCAACAGTTTCAAGCGGTGCTCTTAACAGCACCGACTGCATGAGGAGAAGAGGCCGTCTGTGACATCAGGGGAGGACTTCGCGACGTCGGGAATGACCGCGGAGAGTGACCGTGGAGCACGGCATCGAGTACATTCTTGATCACAGTAGACAAGACAGATGTGGGTTTCTGTCAGGTAGCCACAGATGGAACAGGCCGTTCCCAACCCAATCCCAAACTTACAGAGTGGCAGCTCTGCAAGATGGGTACAGTAGGCCGCATGGCAAGGGCAGGGCCGATAACGACAGCGAGCAGCCCTTTCCGCGAGCAGGAGAGTGCAATGAATGGACGGCTACGCAGGTCAAATGGGTGGGGAGGACTAGATTATATAGTACTCCTGCATAGCTCTCTAAGAGGCTGGGACAGTGTATGACATAATCAATCAATCAATCAATCAATCAAGCTATAAACGAAA